TTTTTTTTTTTTTTTTTTTTTTTTTTTTTTTTTTTTTTTTTTTTTTTTTTACTTTTTCTTTTAAAATTAAATTACTATTTATCTAATATTTTTTTAATTATGTGTTCCGTAACATTTTCCTTTATTTTAAACTGTCGCCCGTTGGTTGGGAGGAGAACAAAACACCATTGACAAGGGTGTGGAAACCTTCCCTGCGTTTTAAAGTCTTGAGGGGAAGTCCAAAAAAGGGCAATATCTACTAGCGGTGGATCTGGGCCGTTACAAATGGTATTAGAGCCAGACACCAGACTGGGTGCCAGCGATGAGGCTGTTCTTCGTAGGGGGGTAGACACGAGGCGGTGTGCCAGTAAAGATGTTGGGCCTTGAAGGGGGGTGAGGTTGTTCTCCAAAAGGGGTAGACACGAGGCAGTGTGCCAGTAAGAATGTTGGGCCCTGAAAAGGGTGGATTGTGATGTCCCATATTGGTGAAGGAGGAGAACAAAACACCCGAATAGACGCGTTTTAAAGCTCGAGAGGGAAAACCCAAAGAAGACAATATCTGCCGTGGATCTGGGTCGTTACATGATTTTTGTAAATAATTTAAAAGGTAAGTAACGAATTATGAGTATAAATAATATTTATATGTTTAATTTTTTTTAAAAATAAAATAGTTATACAAGTATTTTATAATTTAGTATTTAATTAATTATTTTTAGAGTAAAAAAGAAAAGGAAAATAAAAAAATAAAAAAGAGTAAAGTAGGGTTAGTGAAAGCTCAAATTGGTGGGTATCCAATGCCGACGTCGGTGCGGTGACATCACGCGCTTCTTTTTCACCCTCCAATTTTGAAACACATTGCATGTCACCTACTTCATTTTTTTTAATAATTTTTTTTTTGTTTTTTTTCCGCTATGTCTCGATGAAGATCGAAATGTTCGATATTTTTTAGTTTAACAATACGTGAAGATAACTGAATTTGAACGTCCACCCCGAGTTGACACATTTGATATTTAGGTTCACTGAACTCATTTATATCCGAGTGCATATAGGTTAAAAAAATCTTTTGGACTAACCCGAAATTTAGTGATCTGAACAACCCAAACACAATTCACAGCCCGACCCTCTACGTTGTAACCCTATTCTAGGGTTGGTCTCGGTTGACCTGACCAAAAAAATTTCAACCCGCAAGACCTACATTTTTCAAATTTAAAAAAAATTCAACCTAACTAAAAAAAAAATCTAACTAATTTGTTATCTCTTATAAATTTTCACGATATTTTAAAATGACTAAAATACCCTTACACTATTATCGATCATAGCTGGCATTGATGATGGTCGACAGTTTCCAACACCACTACGGTAACGGCTCGACAACCTTCGACGACAAACAATCTTCAATAATCCTTCTAGCTATGGTCGACCAATCGTAATATTTTAAATATTTAAGTAAAAAATATTTTAATTATAGAAGAAACAAAAATAAAAGACTTAAATTTAAAAGGTATTTTGGCTCTATATTTGGTGTGTTGGCACTTTCTTTAATTGCGTTTTGTGTCATTTGTTGACCAACCACATTGATTCTCTTATGTTAGGGTGTCTTTTGGCTTCACTCCTCATTTTCCATTTTAAATATATTTAAATAATAATAATTTTTATTATTTATTGCCCAAACCCCACTTTAATTATTAAATTACTTCATTAATCCCAAAAATTTAGAGCCTAAATAAATTAAATTAAAAAAACAACTCA